TTGAAATAAGACCTTAAAAACTTTGTAACGGAAGAAGAATTTGGAAGTTCATAGAACAGCGTATCAATATCAATAAGAAAAACTAGAATTATGTTATTGTAATTTTTTTATGCACTGAGAATGGTTCTGAGAACCAAAACATTTAGAGAAAATTATTTTATTGTAAATGTTAAAGTAAAAATCTAGTTGCACTATCAGCGTGCTAAGCTCATTATCCTTTTATAGACACTATGTTTTTTCAAATTATGAAATTATTATTTTATTGTACTTTTGGAGACTTAGTTTTAATTTAAATATTATTTTTGAAGTATTTAAAATTTATTAAGAGTTTTGTGATCTGCTTACAAATTGAAATAAACTTAAAGTATTTCTCAAAAATGATAATTATATCGCTAACTATTTTGATCACCCAAACAACACAACTCAATCCCAACAAGATTGTTGTGGAAAGTTTCCAGAAATGTTTCACATCTCATATGCAACAATTCTAAAAGAATTCTGCAATATATATGAAATGTTTTAACAGAAATATTTCTAAAATCTATCATATGCAATAAATTCAAAAACTCATTTAAACAAAACAAAAAATCATGATGTTAAAATGGCTTCAAAATGTTTACTAAGTTTTTTTTAATCAATCACGATTCAGTTTAACGTTATTTTGATATTATTGTGACTTGTTCTACTTTAATTGTGAAAAATTTTTGTATATGAATAACTTGTTCTGTTTTAATTACGAAAAATTTTTGTATATAAATAATAAGACATATTTGCAACAATGAATGGAAATCATTATATATTTTCTGTTACTGTCAGGTTTTCATCATGATATTCAAGATGAAATGATTAATAACGTTGCTAACACGTTGCTGTTGTTATGTGTCACGCGAGGATTAAAATAAATTAACAACTCGCGGCGTTTCTTTTCTTGTAGAAGAGAACTACTTTATTTGGCAAATTTAAAATTCTTGAATTTTAAATTAATTTTTCTGTTATTTTTTCAAATCTTTTTGATTTAAGTTAATATAATATGCAAGCATGTCCGGAATAACAAATCTCATTAACAAAGCCCAATCACTTTAATTCATATAACATAATTTGCAAGTACATATATGGTTTTCCGTAAAAAAAAAAAATCTCGACTACTGCGACAAGCATGCACGACAGGTAAATCGTCCGTGATCCTAAATTATGCGTCGTTCTCTATTGCAGAGCGGGGAATCTTTGGCAGGTACCGCGCGACCCGACGCGACGTCGATGAAACGCAGAAAAGTCTCATCTATCATGTCGAAACACGTAACGCGAAAATAGTCGCAAGGATTCGGGGCTGGACTTGGCGTTGGACTCGCGCAACTATGCCTGCGCGAGTTATCGGATTCCCAAGATCCCTGATAGTAGCAAATTATAGTAGCACGAGGCTGTGGATTGGTCTCATCAATTTTGATTAACTGAATCAATTGATGAGACTCACAATCATTTTCAAAACTCACGGTTAATTCTTAACCGAGGTTCAACTTATCCTTTCACGATTTAATTGATTTTTATGTTTATATCTTTACGTTATTTTGTGTACAATGGCTTTAATGTGCACCAGTGCGCACTGAGTGCGTCCAGTCGAATTCGCTATTAGTTACTGTGAGTTATGAAACTGAACTTAAGTGTCAGTCAATTCTGATGAACAGCAAATGAGATTGATCAGTTCCAACGAAGGAGTAATCATTTAACGTAATCATTGGACAGAGTCCTTTCTCAAAATCATTATAAAATTCATATGAAATCTCTATGTATAATCCGATAATTGTCATATGCAATCACGAGAAATCATATATATAATATTACATAAAATCATATATTTTACCAAATAATTTCATATATGTAGTGAAAAAAATGATTTGTAATCAGATGAAGAGTCATATGAACTCATGTAATCTGTGGGATAATATTTCAGTTAGTTATTCCCTCGAGTTCCAATGTAACAATCGATCGATCAAGTTAATCGGAGTTGAGACCGGCTTCATGTTTATCGCGACATTATCACGGATTTCTGTCACAGACAGATCACTTGGACAAAAGTGAAGTCAAGAGACTGGATATTACCTCGAGATTGTAGACAAATTTGCAAACTCTATCTATTTTTCTATCGTTCTTGATTTTATCCACATTTATAAGGAATTTCAGTTCAGAATATACATGTCTTCTAACTTAATTTTATCTTTTTATTCCGTTTCAGTATATGTTTAATTCTATTTTCGTAAAAATCAAAATTTACAATTACAAAATTAATTAATAAATGGAAATTAATTATTTAACAAAAAACTTAATTAATTCTTGCGTAAAGAAAGATGCATTTTTTTAAGATTGCGTTTCTTGATACGGCCAATCGCACCAGATATTTTAACCGTATAATAATAAATATAGATACCTCTGGAAAATCTATGTATGTATCGTGCTTCATTGGTTTGCCAAAGATATTTTAAACCGTGGGAAAGGGCAAAGTAGGCTCATTCCTTTGAGCATGCGAAAGATGTATTATTACGCAATGATAAGAAGAATATTACGAGATGCAATATGAAGGGAAGGGGAAGCTGTTGTCGCACACGTTGGGGATGATAAAAATATGCGCCGAGAGTCAACTTTGACTTCTTTATATCTACCTAATACATAGCATCTCTTTAGCTTCGAATGTCGAATAGATTATTTTTATTTAGAGAAAATTTCATAAAAAATCTCTTTGAACTTATTAATTTGTTACTCAATTTTCAAAATTAAATATCTCAAATAATTAAATGTTGATTAAAATTTTGTTAAAGTGCGATCTATCCAGTAAAAAAAAACAATTTTTTAATTAAGAAAAAAGAGGATAACAACATTAGTAAAACTTCAATTTTTGGCGATGTTTTATACTTTTTTTTTACATAGAAGATTATATGTAATAAAAAATAAATTAAAAACTGTTTTATTGAAAAATCATATTTACTTTTATAACATTCTAATATATATATATATTGCTAGTTTTTCCTTTGGCTTTTATTTTCCAGTATTCTTTTGGAGGAATAAATTGAGGATGCTTTATCGTGCAAAGCTATAACTTTATATTTTTTATTTCGCTATAGATGCGTGCACGTGATACGCATTGAAATATTCCGTTCCAATATTTTTGAACACTAGGAAAAGTACTTTCTATCTGACAAAGAAGAATGGAACAAAATGAATGTGCGAAGTATTAATAATTTTACGAAAGCAGACGCAGCAGACACGGGGTTATTTCTGCGAACAACGCGATCCTCGGGAGTCCGTCAATTGTCGGTCGGCTATGCGATAAATATATCACGTCTACAACGGACTAGCATCCGCATAATATTGTTGCTAGCGAAGAAACACGTCATACAAATACCGTTCAGACGCGAGAAATTAATCTCCCGCTATCTCCAATTTGTGAGACGAAAACGTGACGTCCCGAAGGATCCTTGAGAAAGCTGCTATTACAGCCGGTCAAGCCTACGCTCTAGGCCAGGGGCTAGGCTAGGCTATTTCCGCGACTCAGCTTATGAACCGAAATAGTCATAGAGAGGAACTTCGGAATAAGAAAATGTTGGGACTGTCCATAGGGATCCCAGTGTGTCTGGCTAGCGCAAGATTGTCTCTGCACTTCTTTTCACCCAATTTTTCATCGTTCAACGGCACTGTTGAGAATTCGAATTTTCATCCGTGTGTCCACTTAGTTTTCTAAACACAACGAGATTAAACTAGACAATAATCTAGCAGAGACATCGATATAGATCTTCGCAGATTATATAATATCTCTTTCAAAAATACGTGGACTCAGCGGCGAATATAAATGCGGCTGACTTTCGTATAAAAGTATAAAAGGAATTACAAATATTGATTATTTCAGTTTAAGAAATCTTTTTGGAAACTTTCTTTGTTTTTTCCTCATATTTTAGAAATACTTAAATAGAAAATTTATTATAACAATCAATATATTAATTAACATATATGTAACCAAATATATATATACATATATATATATATAAAAACTTATAATTATTATTTTAATATATATATATATATATATATAAATTCTATGTACGAGAACGGCAGTAAATTTATATAAACTAAGAAAAAGAACTGAAACGCACCTAATATATTGAATAGACATATCTCTAAAGAAATAAAAAAAATAAACATATTCTTATTTTCTATGTCTAAATAGCTCACTTAAATGATTTACAATTCTTGACAGAATTCGGAGTAGAATTCTGTTATAATTTTGTATCCGTGTAATGCGAAAGATATTTGAGGAATCAGAATATACATACGTAGATAAAAATATACATCAAAATACATAGCATACTTATTTAATAATAAAGCAAAATTCTTGAAATCTGAATTATAATGACGTTAATTATAGTATCGTCTAATGACTTCGAAATATAATGGAAGAATATAATTCGAAAAGCCAAGCTTTTTTCTCTCTTTTAATTGTCACTGTGAGCGTCAGGTACATGTCGACACACTCATACTTATTCGTACCATTCGGACCGTGATTGCTCTACGGTATATGCACAACAGCTATTTCCACTGCCGTCGGCGACGATGCGACAGGTGCTAAGCTATGCCAGGCGATGCGATGCTGTATCGGCGACGAGGTGAGGATTTCAAAATCCGCCAACGAGAGAAGCCCGCAACGGAGTATTTTCAATCGTCTGTACGGTCGCTGGGCGATATTCCTCCGTCGTCCTGGGAACGGCACCGGACCGATAGGTGAAGGCGAACGGATAGGTGGGTTCGCAGAGCATATTTCTGGCCGAAGTCACGAGATACGATTTTACGGGCGATGAGCGAGCGGTAACGAGTCCATCATTCGAGAGGGAGGAAAAGATAGAGAAAAAGAGGGAGAGAAAGAGAAGAAAAGAGCCAAAGACGAAGACAAAGGATACGCGTAAGATACATGTGACGATGAAGAGGAATGGGGGAAGTGAAGGAACGATATTCGAAAAGGGGACGGACTCACGTTGCTTTTGGTAGACTCGACATTGCCGAGCAGTAGCCAATTTTCGGGGAAATTCCATTAATACTCGTGGCTTTGTCCCACTTCGAATTGATGATTCGTCGTCGTTCTATATATTACATATTAAGACAAATCATTTTATACGATTATTATATGAATATTCATATCATGTCTCTTTCTTTCTATATGTACAGTTTTAAAAAAATTTATTCCATTTTTTCTCAATATTTCTTCCTTTGACAATTTTTTACATTTGATGTTAGATATCTCAAATCCAAATTAGTCCATGAATTTTGAAATACATATTACTAAAGATTACAATGACAAACAAATTCATTATAAATACTATAAACAGTGATGGGTAAGATGCTCTTAAAATTTATCTAAATGTACGAAAATTTATCTAAATATAAATATAGATACACATATTAAAATATATATATGTATAGATATCAGATATTTTAAAAGTCAGATACATTTTAGATACTCTTAAATTAGTTTTATTATAATAATGGTAATGTGTAAAAATATATTAGTTATTAAATTTATTCATTGATTTTTGTTATATTTAGATAATTAAAAAAACTCATAATTATATATTATATGTAAAATGATTTAGAATTATAAGACGAAGATATCATTCATCATAATTTTACAAACTAAAAATGCTTCAAACGTTGTATTTCCAGCTTAACTATACATACATTAGAAATTCCACAATCTAAGATCATTGGCTGCATTCAGCAGAAAAAGCAGCTATGTTAACTGTAAAATTCTTTCATATAACTGATTTGCATTTAGATCCAGTGAGGAACTAAGGGAAAGATCAATCATGTTGTTTTTTGCAACAGAATTTTGCAACAGCAAAGCTGCTTTTTTTCTGCGGAGTGGAATCAATCGATTATACATAAAATAGAATTATGACTAAGCTGAGAAAATCTATCTGAAAAATGTATCTGAAAATCAGTTTATATACTGTGTTTTTTATCTAGATACAGATACAAATACTCGAATTTGAATATATCTCAGATACAGGTTAGATACACAAAACGCATCTCTATATATGTATCTACCATAGATACATGTATAGAGATACTACTCAATACCGACTATAAACACTATTTTTCAATTAAAGTGTTGAAAATTAATAATCATCAATTTAAGTTGGTGATAACTCGATATCAAAGCAATCATTCACTCCTTAAAAGTATATTTAGTCTTTTAAGTTAAAAGAAACACGAGACATTTCATGAAAGGCGACATTGAAGTTAATGATGCATGAGGAGTCCTTATACAGAAATCCAATTTAATATTGGAAATTACTTATTAGTATTTAAGTATCAAAAGTTGTTCAGTCTTTTTATTACTCAGAATAATTAATTATTCTGTATCAAATTTCTGTAAGGGAGGTGTAGAAATATATTATAATATTATAATGACAATAAAATAAAATTTATACATCATACATGATACAATAATTGCGATGATGTGCGATCATATGTTCACATGATAGATGTTCCGGTATGTTGAAGACTCGCCAATGGATTTCAATTTCAGACAAGCGCCGGCGTGCGTTTACACTACTGCCAAATGTGTTTACGTGTGTCGTGATCCAGTGCATTTTTATAAGTTTGAGAAATGTCGTCCGCCCACGCCGATGTTATATTTTCTGTATTTGTACACGTTGATCGTCCGCCAGGATTGCATTTGCGTACGTGGAACTGCACGAGATTGATATCTCAATATACGATTTTTTCAACGCGTGTTAGGTCATTAAATTATATAATAGCGTAATAAGATTAAATAAGATTAAAAAGTAAAACAAATAATTAAATCTAATAATCGACCAAAAATGTTAATTGTCTAATCATGTTAGAAGTAGTCTATTATGTAAGATGATTTGACTCTCCTTCACACATATATTTGTAACTCAAGGATCAGTTAAAAATATAGTATTATACAAACATTAGTATTATATAAATATTATGAAAAAGACAGTGTTCACACAAATCGAATTTTCGTTACAAAAAATTGACTTAAAAAATATTAACGATTACTTACATTTTTAAAATATAATGTAATAACAATGAATTTTTTTCGGCGACGTTAAACCTTGCAACAGATAATCATTGTTCGTTGCGAAAAATAAGATTCAAATATTAAAACCTTCAATTTTCAATCTTCAAAAACGTCCATCAGTTACACCATGTAGACAATCTTATTTTTCTTCTTATTTCAAGATCTGATCAAGCGAATCACGATTGCAACGCGAGTATCAATCAATTTTGAGACGTTTCGATTTTAGCAATTTAATTAACCCAATTCCGTAGTCCCTGGGTCCGAGCCCATGCAGACGACCTTAACTTCGTCTAGTATGAGAGGAGGGACCATTTCTCGACGAGTCCACCTGCCATCGGATACCAGCGCGACCAAGCTGACTGTCCAGCCGCACGCCCACACAAATTGCTGCCGCATTATTTCGAGTGTTTTGGCCTTGAGTAGCGGCCAGAGAAAACTTTTGCGGGGATATCGGTGGAACGCAACGTAAGATGGATTGCTCGGAAGCGTAATCGGTGACTTTAACTTACGAATTCTTTATTTTCAACACTTAGCAACGGATACCTCGAAATTTGGATATAATTTTGTACTTTTTAAAATAATACTGTACGAATAAAGACATAACAATAAAAACATAATATAATTTTAATTATATTTTTTCTAAAATTGAAAGAAAAATCTTATTCCCTAAGTGTATTTTGCAATATTACAATAAAAATTGCAGTTTTACTTTTTCAGAATCTATAATAAACGGACGCTGAAATATAGTTTCACAAAGGATTTGTCTCATTTTCTTTCGCAGATAAATTTCCGCTTTGAAAAAAGTATCACGGAACGTGAGAAAGTTCTAACATACGATTATCCGGAATGGCTGGATGACGAGAGGAAGAACATCGAGGAAAAAAGAACACAACGAATAATCATGCGTGACAATCGATGATTCACGATTGCGATATAAATAATTGGACTCTTTTTCAAAAAAGAAGAATGAGAGAACGTATCTTCGGTAAGTGCTCGATCACTTCCTGCTCGACTCGAAAACGAGCTTCAAGCTTCGTCCAACTTAGAACTCTCGCGACGAGTCAAAATAATAATAACTCCTGTGAAGATCCGTTCCTGAGCTGAATCTTAAATTTAAATAGAATGGCGACAAGCATTGCGGCGAAGCGTAAAATACTTGTCGTTTCTGCATCTCGGTTGCGTATCGCTCTGTGTTTCGCTCTCTTAATTCTACGGAACGATAAACAACCTTGTTGTTCATGTTACAAATGACTTTTTGCACGCAGTGTTTCAGAGCCGTCAATTTTCACTTCGGTGACAGATTCGTTCACCAATCTGGAATCGATGTTCTTAGAGGTTCTGAATTGCAAACAAAAAGACGTCATGTAAAATAATTACGGAGTTACTAGAATACTTCGTCTTTTATTATTATTACATTAAAAAAAAGTATCTCATTAATAATATAAAAATAATAATAAAAAAAAGTATCTCATTGTCACATCTTCTAAATCTTATTTTTTAAAATCATATTCTTTAATTCATATTCTTTTTTAGAACTCAAATAGAGTCAGATAGACAATATGTTCTTCAATAAAAAAAACATACAAAACACTAGATTCTTTGCTATATCTTCAAGATATTTACAGTCCGTTTAAGAGCTTCTCTGAAACTTTTGATGCAGTATCCATGCGAAGATCCCGCCAGAAATGACTAAACTGCTCCTGTAGTTAAAAAGAACAGCCGATTATATTATATTAATATACATTGTGTATATTATATTAATATATATGTATATAACAATAAAATATCAATAAATAAAATACATTTGAATTTACACGAATAATTCTGTAATCATAGTATTTTTTGAAAAAAAAAAAAAAAAAATTCATTTTGTTCCTTATTCGAAAAAAAAAACTCGCATTACTATACTCACAGTATAAACAAACTGTCAAATTTTATTTCAAATCAGAAATAATAAAAAAAATAATTGTAACTATTTTATATTAAAATATATTTAATATTAAAATTTTAATAAAATATAAATTTTCATTTTTTCATTTGATATGAAAAGATCGTAAATGAAATAAATATAAAAAGGACACTTTATTGGACAGGTCAAGCTATTTTGATAAAGTTGAATGTTTTACAAGCAATCGCGGAAAAAAATCATGAAAATGATGCGACTTTCCATCGAGACTTTATATAATAAACTAGAAGAACTTTATTATACGGAATATGAGTGCGAATGCAAATTCAGCGATCTAAATATAACATTTTCATTGCGCTCAGAATGCGATAATAACGAACGCAGATTGATATATTGATTATACGGGACAGCCAGGAAAACAAGGAACGCGAATCTTTTACCCACAAACGTTAGGTAACGTAACGACCGACCAGATCAGTCGTTAATGCCTTCGCAACAATTGGCAATGCGAGTTGCGGCTTCTGCATCTATGGCAATGTCAACGCTAATTAGAGATTTCGCAAACGCAGCCCAATTGAGAGCCATTAATTTGTTTGACGTAATATGTTCAGTGGCATTCCGCCACTTATAGGAATCAAATCGGCTTTAACGCATTGCGACTGCTGATTGAAATTGTAATTACATCGTGATATGTTCAGAAAACAGTACATTAGGACAAGGTGTTCCAAAATCATCTATTTTGTTCAGCCACAAACAGCTAAAATTTTCAATCTCTTCTGCATTAATGTTTAAATAAGTCGTCAAATTTGATTTCAAATCATAGAAATATACTTAAAAAAAAAAAAAAGAATTGTAACTATTTTTAAAATATATAACTTAATGTTGAAATTTTAATAAAATATATTTTAGTAAAATTTCAACGTTAAATATATTTATAGATATAAAATAGTTATAATTCTTTTTTTTTAAGTATATTTCTATGATTTCAAATAAACTTGGCGACTTATTTAAGCAATGCAGAAGAAAGAATCAAATTTAACTTTAAAATATAAATTTTAATTCTTCCCTTTGATAAGACACTTCGAAAATATGATATAATTACTGTAAGCGAATCCGATTGAAATCGTGAAACTGATTGAATGTCGATGAATGTCGATAATCAAAATCTCTTCCAGATATAAACATCGTAGATTGCCAATAAACAAAAATAATTGCATGAATTTCTTCAAATAAGTTGAACAGGCTGATACGTTTATTTCACGCGTCTGATTTCGAAAGACCATTTGTTAACGGGATGCATGCCAAATTATCATGCTATGTTTGTGTAGAACAGTCTGATTAATTATCAATTCTTATACGTACCATAGGATAAGTTGAACCGAGGGTGAATGCCGTATCGGATTATAAGGAACTACGTATAGCTCATTGTTTTGCTTGAAGTGTAGTAATATATCTTGTGCGCTGTAAAACAATTAAGGAAATCGCTTTTGATCATTGCGTCGCAAACGAGAACGTGTCCAACAATCTCGATCGTCCCGCGACAAGATAAACGTAATAACGCGTTAAGCCAATTTCGTGTGACAAAAGTTGCACACGTGTGGCAACATCAAGTGTAATAATAGATCGTTAATAATAATGTACACGGTGGTGTAGACAGTGGCGGTCTTTTAATAAGCTCTGTAAATATATCTGCAAAAGTTCGTTGGTAAAAGCGACATAAAGACGGGAACAGTGCCAATGACGAAGAAAATTTTACGTGTACAATATGACGGAATCGAGTCAATTATCCGTTGTACGAATATTCGGAAAATAAAAAGTTTTGTTTCTAGCAATAATCCATGAGATAATTTATTTTTTAATTTCAACGAAGAAGAGTCTTCTGCATTATCTTCTGTGCAGAAACGCACAAGTAAATGTTGCAAGTATTTTTTTATCAAATCATTTGGCGATAGGGAGACAAAATTACTCTCAAGAATGATAACAGCACGTATAATTTAGCAAACAATCTGTACCGATAGACCAGAGTAAATACAGCATATGAAATATTATTAAATTAATAATGCAGCATATTAAATATTGTGCGAATACTTGCAGCATTTAAATAGTCGCGAGGTACTTAATACGCACCCTCTCTAGAAAATAAGCGTATTGTAGCAAATTTACTATTAGTGATATATTCGTCGATTTGTATTTTCAGACTATTCGGATTAGACAAGCACAGTCGATCGATCAATCGTACAACTAGAAGAAACAAACTTTGGCCGAATGTATTTCGGCATTACAAAGTACTAGAAAATGTATGTCTTGTATATTACAAAAAAATGGTATATAGTCGACTATTCGTTTTGCAAAATAATAATAATTTCATATTTTTTTTACCAAATATGACGTATTACCACGTATGATATTTACACAGTTTGCAAAGCTTTTTATGCTATTCATCAACTCGGTATGTATAAAGTATTGTAATAATTCGAAGTAACATTATGTCAATCGAATAAATAAATCGATCACCTTAGTCATAAAATATAATTTGAATGAAAATTTTATATACAACTGAGATAAACATATCTATCCATTAAAAATATTGTACGATCTTTATGGCTAACATTTTCAGTCTCTCTAATTTTATTAAATCCACAAACTTTCAATAACTCTCAAAAACTTATTTTTCTAAATAAAAATAATTATCATTCCTTCAAAAATATTAAAATTAAAGACATTTGAGCTTATTTGATTAATAAATATTTTTTGTTTTGTGACAATTAGAAAATGACATTTAGTTTTTTTAAATACTAAATTGATTGGAAAACTATCAATGTTTTGTCTATTATATTCTGAATGCTTAAGAGATAGGTCTCTAATTTATTCTGTAGAAAAGGAAAAAATATGAGTTTTGTACTGTAATATAATTGGTTTATATGAAAATGGATAAAGAAGGCATACTAAAATCACATTTTGTACGGTACATTGATGAGTATGCGACTGCCCTTGAAGACTATCCAAAATAATTCTGCTACTTTGTTTCATACTATTATAAATTTCCCTATTTTTGTATAACTATATATTTAATATTTATATTTATCCAATATGTAGAAGAATAAACCAAAAATAAGATAGTTTCAGCCTCTATCGAAAAGATAAAGATTTAATTTTTTAGGATTCTTCGTGTCGCGTTGTGATATTTTCACATATATCTCGAAATCAGACGCAGTTGGCAGCAATCGCTTTTTCACTATATGTGTAAAGTTGCGTCCTATTTCTTATACATTTAAAATTTGTGTAATCCTTCTCGTTATTTATATAATATATGTAGAACATGGGAAAACATGTTAAATAAGAAATGAGAGAT